AGGTCCATGAGAATGGCACAGGGTCCCCTCACATGCCCCTCAGAGCAACACATCCCGCAAACACAAATCCAGTCGATGTGTTGTTCCATCTGCTTCTTTCAACCGAGAGAAGCAGCACTCTCGTTTGCTTGGTGCAGGAAGCAGCTCATTCAAGCTAGGCTTCCAGGCACATCCTCACTGAAGTGCTTGCCCTTTGCCCACGGAGTGCAGCCTCCGCCGACTCGGCCGCCTCGAGGCGCGCGGCGCTGAGCTCCTCCCGCGCCAGCGCCAGCTCCCGCGCGGCGCCGCTGCTGGCCGCCTCCGCCTCGGCCGCCTCGAGGCGCGCGGCGCCGAGCTCCTCCCGTACCAGCGCCAACTCCTCGCCGCTCGTGGCCTCCGCCTCGAGGCGCGCGGCGCCGAGCTCCTCCCGTACCAGCGCCAACTCCTCGCCGCTCGTGGCCTCCGCCTCCAGGCCCGCGGCCTGGAGACCCTCTCGCGCCAGCGCCAGCTCCCGCGCGGCGCCGCTGCTGGCGGCCTCCGCCTCCGCCGCCTCGAGGCGCGCGGCGCTGAGCTCCTCCCGCGCCAGCGCCAGCTCCCGCGCGGCGCCGCTGCTCGCCGCCTCCGCCTCCGCCGCCTCGAGGCGCGCGGCGCCGAGCTCCTCCCGTACCAGCGCCAACTCCTCGCCGCTCGTGGCCTCCGCCTCCAGGCCCGCGGCCTGGAGACCCTCTCGCGCCAGCGCCAGCTCCCGCGCGGCGCCGCTGCTGGCGGCCTCCGCCTCGGCCGCCTCGAGGCGCGCGGCGCCGAGCTCCTCCCGCGCCAGCGTCAACTCTCGCGCGGCGCCGCTGCTCGCCGCCTCCGCCTCGGCCGCCTCGAGGCGCGCGGCGCCGAGCTCCTCCCGCGCCAACGCCAACTCGCCCGCGCCAGCCTCGCGGCCCGCTGCCGGGAGCTCCCCCCGCGCCAGCGCCAACTTGCCAGCGCCCGTGGCCTCAGCCTCGGCCGCCTCGAGCCCCGCGGTCTGGACCTCCTCCCGCGCCAGCGCCAGTTCTTCGCGCAGCTGCTGCAGCTCGCCCGCGGCGGTCTCCTCCCGCAGCTCCGCCGACCGCGCGGCGGCCTCCCGCAGCTCCTGCAGCTGCGGCAGCCGCTCCAGGGCGGCCTCGTACTTGCGTTGCGTCACCAGGAGCTCCGTGCTCCCCTCCGCCAGCTCGTCCAGGGCGTCCTTGAGCTGAGCCTGGACGCCCGAGGCGTCCTCGCACGGCGCTTCGCCGAATGAAGCCCCCTCCTGGGCCGCCTCGAGGCCCGCGGCCTGGCGATCCTCCCGCGCCAGCGCCAGCTCCCGCGCGGCGCCGCTGCTGGCGGCCTCCGCCTCGGCCGCCTCGAGGCGCGCGGCGCTGAGCTCCTCCCGCGCCAGCGCCAGCTCCCGCGCGGCGCCGCTGCTCGCAGGCTCCGCCTCCGCCGCCTCGAGGCGCGCGGCGCTGAGCTCCTCCCGCGCCAGCGCGGCCTCACGCGCCAGCTCGGCCTCCGCCAGCCGCGCCAGCGCCAGCTCGCCCGCGGCAGCACTCCACCCCCGGTTGGCTTCTTCGAGCTCCCCGCGCGCCTGCCGCAGCTCGTCCACGGCGCCCTCGCGCAGATCCGCCGCCCGCGCGGCAGCTTCCCCTGCGCGAGCTGGGTCCTCCGAGTCCGTGCGGCTCGATGCGTCGCCCGCCGCCTCCGCACCTCCCACGGCCTCCTGCTCGCGCTCCTCTGCGCCGACGTCAAGCAGCCGCCCCAGGGCGGCCTCGTACTTGCGCTGCGTCACCAGGAGCTCCGTGCTCCCCTCCGCCAGCTCGTCCAGGGCGTCCTTGAGCTGAGCCTGGATGCCCGAGGCGTCCTCGCACGGCGCCTCGCTGGACGCGGACTCTGCCTGGGCCGCCCCGTCCTCTGTCCGGAGCTCCTCCCGCACGAACGCGAGCTCCTCGCGCCACTGCCGCGCTGCTGCCGCCAATTCCTCGCCGCTCGTGGCCTCCGCCTGCGACGCCTCGAACATCGCGGCCCGCAGCTCCTCGCGCACCAGCGCCAACGTCTCGCCGCTCGTGGCCTCCGCCCGGGCCGCCTCCAGGCCCGCGGCCTGGAGACCCTCTCGCGCCAGCGCCAGCTCCCGCGCGGCGCCGCTGCTGACGGCCTCCGCCTCGGCCGCCTCGCGGCGCGCGGCGCCGAGCTCCTCCCGCGCCAGCGCGGCCTCCCGCGCCAGCTCGGCCTCCGCCAGCCGCGCCAGCGCCAGCTCGCCCGCTGCAGCCCTCGGCCCCCGCTCGCTCTCCTCGAGTTCCTCGCGCGCAGTCGCCAGCGCCGCCTCTTCGCCGCTCGCGGACTCCGCCTGAGGCACGAGCGAGAGATGCCCGGTGCCTGGTGTCGGGTGAGTGCGAGGTGCCGGGTGTCTGATTGCTGCCCCCCCGCTGCCGCTGCCCGTTCTGCCCGCATCTCCGCTTCGGCTCACGCACGCAGGTTTTGATTCGCGGCCGGTTGGTCCAACACGTCGAGGAGGGAGAGCCCCCTATGGGGCCACGAAGCGTGAGGGTTGTGCCCACATGGGGCGGGGCCGCCATGCGGGCGCTGCCATTGGGGCCTTCGGTGGGACTGCCTCTTGGGCGGCAGCGAGGCGTCCAAATGGTGTGCCAAAACGGGGCGGGGCCGCTGTACGGACCCTGCCACTGGGGCCTTCGGTGGAGCTCCCGTACATGGACATTATATTCGCACCCTGTGGCCCAAGATGCCCCCCCGACCCCCCGAAATTAATATTGATGGCGTGGCGACGGGGGGGGCGTGAGTGGACAGAAATATTCGAACCCCAAAGCACCGCCTTTACTGAGATCAACATTGATGTCGGGGGCGCGGGGGTGATTTAGAATCTCCCTCGAATGTGAGAGGGTTCGAATATATTGTCCATCTACTGTCCTCCGATTTGCACCGCACACGAGAGATCATCTGACGCTGTCGTTGTGGTGCCGTTTTTTGTGCACGCAGTCTCTTGCTTGCTTGCTCTGCCGATCGGCGCGGGCCCTCGCGCCCCGCCCCCCCATGGAGTAGATTCACTGAGTGGATCTTGGCTGGCCGTTTTTGGGCGCCTGTTGCGACAGGATCGGGCCTCCCCCCTGGGACGCACTGCCCTCCTTCCGCCCAATGTCGAAACGCCGAATAAGAAAACGCTCACCAGCCGAGGTCTGGAGCCAGACCCCTCCCGACCCTCCCCCCCCGTTCTGCCCAATATCGAAACGCCGATATCCGTGCACATGCACATTGTGCGAGAACTCCTGGTTTTCAACGATGGGTTCAGCCCAGGGATTGTGGTCTTTGTGTGCTGTTGTTCGCATTTTGGCTCAAGCGGAAAATATCTCCTGTCCTTCTGCTGCTACAGTCGCAATGGCCCAAGAGCGCTCCACGAGGGGCGACGATGGCACCAAGACGGCCTCGGAGGCCCCCAAGACGCTGCCAAGATGCCCCAAGAGGCCCCCAGGAAGCCCCCAGGAAGCCCCAAGAGGCCCCAAAGAGGCCGCAAGAGGCCCCCAAGAAGCCCAAAAGAGGCTCCAAGAGGCCCCAAGACGGCCTCCAGACGGCCCAAGAGGCCCCCAAGATACCCAAGAGGCTTCCAAGAGGTCTCCCAATAGAGCTCGAAGACGCCAACACACATGTATGTTCCATAGGTTCTTGAACAATTTTGGCGTTTCCGCATGTTCCGCCTCCCGACGCTGGAAAACGCTCCGTGAGGCTCCGAGGATCGCCACAAGACGGAAACTACAGGAAACCCATGAACTCCAGAACGAACTTCAGATCTTCTACCGGACGAACCCCCGAACAGGAACCGAACAAAAGGCTTCAAAGCACCCCAAGACGGCCCAATAGGCTTCAAAGGCGCCGAGGAGACGTCCAAGACGGCCCGAGGGGGCCCCGACCGCGGCCCAGGATCGGGGACGTGAACCGAGAACCCGAGATCTTCGCCGCAGGAGACCCCCAGGAGGCTTTACGAGTTCCCCAAGAAGTCCCAAAGAGTTCCAAAAGAGCCCCGACCAGGTCGGCATCGCATGCGCCGTCGGATCTGACGAGCTTGCGTCGCAACTCGCTGACGTCTGGAACGCAGCTGCAAGGCTCGCGCCTTGGCATCGAAGGAGTGCCGTCAGGCGCGCGCGCATGGCGTGCGTCGAGTCATCTCGCGCCCTGACAGCCGCGGCTAATTTTGGCAGCGTGCGAATCGCTGAATCGCTGTGTGCACGGAGTCTCACCCCTTCTCTCCTCTTCCCGCCCCTCCTCCAATTACCCGCCGGGGAGCAGGTGGAGTATGTGTCGGTGCCCGTGTTTTTTTCGCGTTTGCTTGAGGCCTGACGAGGACACTGCCTATCCGTCGTCATCTTGTGAATGTGCGGAGGGTTAGGGGGATCGCGCAAACCTGGGCTAGACCGAGGTACGAGCTCCCGTACATGGACATTATATTCGCACCCTGTGGCCCAAGATGCCCCCCCGACCCCCCGAAATTAATATTGATGGCGTGGCGACGGGGGGGGCGTGAGTGGACAGAAATATTCGAACCCCAAAGCACCGCCTTTACTGAGATCAACATTGATGTCGGGGGCGCGGGGGTGATTTAGAATCTCCCTCGAATGTGAGAGGGTTCGAATATATTATCCATCTAATCTGAAAAAAGTGCTGTTCAGACTCTGGGGCGCCCCCAGACTCTGGGGGTTGGGGGTTGCTCCGACTTTGTCTCTCGTTGTCCGACTGTGTCTCCTCGCTCATACCCCCTGCCTCCTTCTCCTGGTCCTCCTCCCTGTTTCTCTTCCTACTCCCTCTTCGCCTGCTTTTCCCAGTCCTTTTCTTCCTATTCCTCCTTCCTCCTCCTCCTCCTCCTCCTCAACCTCCTCCTCCTCCTCCTCCTCCTCCTCCTCGCCCCCAGTGCGCCCAGGAGGCTTTCAAGATGGCCCCATGACGGCCCAGGAGGCCCCAAAGACGGCCCCAAGAGGCCTCTAAGACGCCCAATATGGCCTCCAAGACGGCCCTGAAGCGCCTCAAGAGGACCCCACATCGGTTCAGAGAGGCCCCCAAGACGGCTTCCGACGGCGTCAGACCCGTCAGACGGGCTAGGAACGATTTAAGACTGCCAAGGAGAGGCCCCCAAGACCCCCCCACGGCCCCCAAGAGGCCTAAGGAGGCCCCCAAGAGGCTTCCGAGAGGCCCCCCGGGAAGCCCCCAGGAGGCCCCACAAGAGTGCCCCAAGAGGCTCCCAAGAGGCTTCCTCCTCCTCCTCCTCCTCCTCCTCCTTCTCCTCCTCCTTGTCATCCTCTTCCTCCCTCTCCTGATCCTCCCCCTCAGCCTCCCCCAAGCGTTCCCCGAAGAGTTTCCGGAGCGGCTGGGGGAATACATAATCAGATAGCTTGGCCAAGCTGGGGCCCAACGTTTGGCCACATAGTCGCTTCTCAAAAAGGCTGGGGGCGGCGGTGATTCGCCGTAGGCGTCTTGGATCCGCCGCCCCCTGTGCTTGCCACAGGGTTGGACGGCGTGCCAGACATTTTGCTGAGATTCTGATTTTCAAACCCTTCCCAGTGGCCTTCGGCCCAGACCGCCTGCACCTCGGAAGGACCAGAAGGTGTGGCCCACATCGCCACCAAGACGGCCCAAACGGCCCAATATGGTCACCAAGATGCCTCCAAGGCGGCTAGGATCGCTCCAAGAGAGCCCAATACGGCTCCAATATGTCTCCAAGACGGCCCAAGATGCACCCGAGGCGTCCAAGATGGCCCCAAGATGGCCCAGGACGGCCCCAAAGGCCCCCAGGAGGCTTTTAATGCAGTCCAAGAAGCCTCCAAAGGGATCTGCAGGAAGGCCCGAAGAGGCCAAGACAGCTGATTTCCCGTGGGCTCTTGATGGATTTTGACGTTTTCGGCCTGCCGACGGCCCAATGCCGCCGAAGAGACCCCCAAGATGGCCCCAAGAGCGCCCAAGAGGCCTCCAAGACGGCCCCCATGACGGCCTCCAGACGGTCCAAGAGGCCCCCAAGGCGCCTCCAAGACGGCCCACGAGAATTCCAAGGCGCCCACGATGGCCTTCAAGACGGCTCCAAAACGTCCAAGATGGCAACGATACGATTCGACATAGCCCCAGGATGTCCCAAGACAGCCACAGAGGGCCCCAAGGGCCCCAAGGGGATGCAAGGGGCCTCTTAGACAGTCTAGGAAGTCTTCAAGAGGACCTCCAGGAGAGCCCGAAATGCCCAAATGGTTGTATGTATTCCCTTCAATTGTTGAATAATTTGGGCGCGTTTTCTTTTTCGGCTGTCCGACGGCCCAAGATGTCCACAAGATGGTCCCAAGACGGCCCAAGCTGACTGACTTCAAGATGGCCCCAAAAGGGCCCCAAAGGGCGAGGAAACAGTCCAAGAGGAAGAGCAAGAGGAAAGGACGGAATCAGAGGCCCGAAGCGGCTCCGAGAAGCCTGCAGCTCAGCGCGGGCTCGTCTGCGGACGCCCTTGCCCCCCCCCCAGGAAAAACATATCACCCCGAGGCCCGGTGATGTTTTTTGGGGCCGCCATCTCAAAGCCCCACGGCCAGCTTTTGGGTCGAGGAGGAGGAGGGGCAGGAGGACGAGGAGGTGATCAACAGGAACCAGAGGAGCAGGAGCAGCAGGAGGACGAGGAGTTTGAGCAAGGGGTCAAGGACGGAATGATAGGCCAGAAGCGGCTCCGCCATCGTCGTGGTCGTCGTGGTCGTCGTCGTCGTCGTCGTCGTCGTCGTCGTCGTCGTCGTTGTCGTCGTTGTCGTTGTCGTCGCCGTCCATAAGATGGCCCCGAGAGGGCCCTAAGAGGGCCCCAAGAGAGCCCCAAGAGGGCTCCGAGAGGGCCCCAAGAGGGCCCCAGGAGTTGTGCAACAACCCAGCGGCCGCTGGTACATAACTCCTGGGGCCCTCTTGGGGCCCTCTGAGGGCCCTCTTGGAGCCCTCCTGGGCCCCTGGTTGGCCCATGAGAGGACTCCAAGAGGGCCCTAAGAGGGCCCCAAGAGGGCCCCAAAAGGGCCCCAAGAGGGCCCCAAGAGGGCGCCAAGAGGGCCCCAAGAAGGCCCCAGGAATTATGTACCAATCCAGCGGCCGCTGGTACATAACTCCTGAACACTCTTGGGACCCTCTGAGGGCCCTCTCGGAGCCCTCTCGGACCCCTGGTTGGCCCTGTAGGGCCCCAATAGGGCCCCAAGAGGGCCCCAAGAGGGCCCCAAAAGGGCCCCAAGAGGGCGCCAAGAGGGCGCCAAGAGGGCTCCAAGAAGGCCCCAGGAATTATGTACCAACCCAGCGGCCGGTGGTACAGAACTCCTGGGGCCCTCCTCCTCCTCCTCGGCGACGACGACGAGGAGGTGTAAACGCACCCTTACCCAGCCCCTGCAGGACCAGGCAGCGATACTTGGACCAAATTTCCTGGCCACTGTTTCGACCCCAGAGCTCTCGACCCCGTCCAGGAGCTCCCGACCCCAACCCGGAGCTTTCGGCCCCATCCTGGAGCTCTCGACCCGCAGA